TATATATATATATATATATATATATATCTGTGTGTGTGTGTAGCGTTTATATTAATATAAAACTTTGTTTTCATCATATTTAATATTTATTTTGAAAATATATAACTGCGTATATCTCCTCCAGTTTGAGTTCAGTTTGAGTAGTTTTTAATCTGAATAAATATGTGTAATCTAACTGAAATGTAATTTTGAAATTTGTTTTGGTCTTTTATATGTAAGAGATTAGTGTAATATTATCTCTGACTCGTCTTTCATGAGATTAAAATGAGATCTAAGGCGCCTCCTATTCATTCTGACAGCAGCTGTCTGAACTGTGGTCCACCCTCTAGGCACGTCGGCCTAGCTGCCGACAGCGTCCAATGAGGCGTCTACGTATTAATGTCTATGAGTGTACCTCTCCAAAGTAAAATTATGATTTGATCTTCACATGTTTGGATTCTAATAAAAGAATAATCTGAATCAGAAAAAAAAAAATTGTTTGAAGGTGCTATGTTAGGCCATTCATACCCATGAAAATTTTCCCAGATGCATGGTGGTGGAAGCAACATCATGCTGAGGGCTTTTTTTTTTTGCCAGTTGTAATAGTCTATTGCACAACAATGGAAGACACTTTTTTAATTTCAGCTGAAAAGCTTGAAACAACTAATATAAATATATGTTCTTATTATGATCCATGGTGGTTTATATTTTAGAAATTTTCTAATTTTTTTGATGATTTTGGATTTATGATTGACATTAAGTTTTTTCCATATCGGTTCATTTTCTTTTATTGGATTTCTTGGTACCTGATTTTATCCTTCATAAACGCATGTGTTCAAGGTGCAGTTTTTAGTGCTATTGGATAACGCCACAGAAAGTCGGAATTGCCAGTTGGGAAAACAACCATTTAAATGTCAACCTGCTTGGATTTGATAAGTTATACTATACATTTTTAATACATATTTGATGTAATTTTTAACACTTGCTTAAGAAGTTATTGGTGATCGTGATCGTGTTTTCATTCATAAGGCAAAAGAACATCTAAAAAGTTTTTTGAATTTTTTCTATCTAGTTCAACATTTCTGTCCATGAACAGTAACCTTTTTACTGGGGCTAAAGATTTAAACATAAAGTTAGGCTAATGTTCTTATTTATTGTTTAACCTATCTGCTTTGTCATGACTTTCTCATTTACTTCTTTTTTTTTTTAAACTCACCCAAGTCAGTCTTCCACTACATAACGTAACCTCCCCACTTCCTTCCTGCAAGACCCCCAAGAGATGCTGAAAGAGGATTAAGATAAAGAGCCAAGCTTAGTGTCAGGCACCAAAACACCTTGGGGAAAACCCAAAGATCCCAGTGTTCTGAGAAGTTTAGCTCCCGCTAATCCACTTCTTATTTCCAGCTAATCTCATCTCAGCATATCTTCATCCTCTTCCTCTCTCTGTTTGCCGACTTTGTTTGCCTTTTATCACCTGCACATCTCTTTAGTTGGGTCTCTTCCTGCCTCGGTTCAAGCATGACATCGTGGAGGGTTGTTTAGAGGCCAAGGGGGGAAAAAAATCCTTAGTCACCATTTATTGATGAAATTAAAGATCAGTTGTAAAGGTGCATCTCAATAAATTGGATTTAAAAAACATTACACAGAAATATTAAAACTATTTTTTTCATATTTCAAGCTTTAACCAATTAATGACAGATTAAAGCTAATAAAAACTTAGAATATAGTCCCTTGGAAAGTTTAGATATTAGCCTTTATATAGAGCCGCTTTATGTTATGGAGGGCTGTATCCAAGGATAGTAACAAGAAGTAAAGTGGAAGGAAAAGGGTTGTCAAAATACTGTAGTTGCACATTCAACAGAAATATGCAGCCTCAGAAAGGAATTTCAAGTAAAGCCTATTCCTTCTATGAGGACATTTCCCAGGTTGATTCAGTTAATTGAAAGCATCTGTATTTGAAATGTCTGCTGTTCTCTAACCATTGTGAATAAAAGAAATGGCCAGTCAGCTGCATTAATGATGCATAATAAACAGTTAAACATCACAGTGTAAAACGTTGGTTGTTTTCTTTCTCCGTCTGAGAGATTCTGGTTGTTTGTTTCTCTCAAACTTTCTCATATTGTTCATTATTAAATTATAAATCATTTAGTAACCTTGGATGAGAGGATGGAATGTAATTTCTTTAGTAAAAACAAAT